AGGCGGAGCTCGCCCTCGTCGCGTCCGGTGCGAGCCGGAGCGGCGAGGGCAATGGGGGGTCATCCGGGGGACAAGGAGCAGCAGGCGGTCAAGACCGTGAAATCCGTGATGGCGAGAGAAACCGTGACGTGTGCGCCGAACATGCCACCGGTTTATGCCGCTACCACCAGTCCGAACTACACACGAACGGGCAATGCCGTTACCAGCAGCATCTGCGGCGGACGCGCACGCGAGCAGCCGCCGAGGATTGCCGCGGGGGTGGCGGCGGAGGCCGTGGCGGCGGCTGGAGCCAGCGAGGAGGAAGACCGCCGTTGGGAGCCGGCCGGGGTGGCGGGCGTTGGGTGAGAGTTGAAGGGAAGCAGCACCACACCGGTTATGTTGGCGGTGGCTGGAGCCAAGCCTCACCCCCCCCGAGACCTCTTCGTGGACGTGGGCCTGGTGGTCGTCTGGGGCGGCACCCGGGGGGTCGAGGGCCCTCGGGACGCCACGGCAGCGATGGTCGTGCCGAGCGAGAGCGGGCATGTAGAGGCCCGAGGCACGCGCGCTCCGGCCACGGGAGAGAGCAGGCGTACGTAGTATACTACGCCCGGCTACTACGAGGATCACGGCGACTACGACGACGGCTAATACTACGACGATGGCTACCACGACTCGGGGTACGAGTACTACGTCGAAGCGGGCACCGGAGACAGCTACAGCTACTCTGAGGGGTATGAAGACAGCCGTACGCCTGACGGTGGCATCCACTACGTCTACTACCCTCCTGCCGGCGAAGATTCCTCAACTGAGCAGCCACGTCAGCCCCCCCCGAGCAGCAGCAGCACCGCTTCCCCCTCGTCCTTTGCTCCTCCGCCTGGAGCGCCTCCATCTTCGGGTTACCTTCACCTCAGCTCGGCACAATCTGTGCCTCGAGGCAAGTCTCACCCCGATGATTTTTATGATAGGATAGGTATGACGATTGGAGTGGAGTCTGTTTCGAGTGAAGGGCCTTCCCACGTACGTCTGCTGAAGGTGAAAGCAATCCGTAGCATCAACCTCAGCTTTTTCCAGGAGGGTGATAACGGTATGCCAACGACGATGTATGTGAAGCTGACTGACGTGTCTGTGGTAGAGAGTCTGAGTTTCAACTTGTTTTCAACGCATGCTGTTTCCCTTCGGCAACGAATAATCCATGACGAGCGTGGCGTCACTCTGCGTAACGGACTGCTGTTTCCTAGAGAGGAGAAAGCTTCTGCCGCCTATGCAATGCGCATGCCTTACGACCCGTCTGCGATTGTGGTAGACTCTGCTGCATTGCCTGCCTTCGTGAAATCCCCCGATTCCACCCCCGCTGATGGTCCAACTTCCCCTTTCCCCAACGGGATCCCCGTGGAATCATTGGTGTCTGTTTTGCGTGCACCGCCCGCTGGCTGCTCTGCTAGCATTGTACCTCCGACTGACAGCGTCCCGCCCACTGGTCTCCCCAGTGTAGTCCCTGTGCATGACAGCGTCCAGCCCACTGGTCCCTCCAGTGTAGGTCCTGAGCATGACAGCGTCCCGCCCGCCGGTTCTACCGACGTCGTACCTCCTTCGGCGTCCGGTTTTGAGTGTGTGCGTACTTTCCCGGGTATGGATCTAGGAGATACGAGTGTGTTCACCGACGAGCTGCTCATGGACGGGTATGATAATACCCCGTACCAAGATTTTTTCCCCGCGTTCATGCCAGAGAATGAAGCTGCNTCCCCGTGGAATCATTGGTGTCTGTTTTGCGTGCACCGCCCGCTGGCTGCTCTGCTAGCATTGTACCTCCGACTGACAGCGTCCCGCCCACTGGTCTCGCCAGTGTAGTCCCTGTGCATGACA